GCAGCAGCAGCAGCAGCAGCAGCGCGCCGTCTCCCATGACTCGCGCTTCACTGCCGAAGCACCCTCTTTCGTCCCGACGTGGGCAAAGGGAGCGGCTGCGTTTGGCGGATCCGCCAGCTTCAAACGCCCGACCTTGCCGGACTGGGCGCCCGCGGAGAAGAAGCCGACGCCGTCGATTCGTGACCCGAGCATGTTCACGATGGAGACAGGCAGCAAGGCTATCCCCATCCTACGTCCGGCCGAGGATGAAGCTGAACAGTCCGCAACTCAGAATCGCTCGCCTCAGAGCGGTATCGCAGCGCAACGAAATGCCACCATGCAGGCTACGTCTCCGGCTCAGAGCAGCATGCCCAAGTTCGACGGTCCTGGCGCAGCAGGCGAGGCAAGTGGAAAGTTATCTAACAACACCCTGTCAGCCCCAGCACCGTGGGAGTCGTCGCGCAAATCCGAGTCGGGATGGCAAGCGGAGAGAGCACGTCCGATCCACATTCCTACTGGGCCGCACAGCTTCCAGTCTTCTATGGCTGGTTCACTGGTGTCCAACGCCGAAGCACGTCTTGGAATGCGTTGGGCACCCCACCACACACCTTCTCTGTCGCGCGACAGCATGAGCGTGTCTTCTGCAGGACGACGCCAGAGACGCTCGGACCGCAGTCCGCAGAAACACCGCGCCGTCAAGTACGATGATGGTGATGATGAGGACGACGACGAGAGCCTGACAGATTTCGTGGAGGAGATCGCAGAGCGAATCGACAAGGCACTCGAAGGCTGGGCCGGCAAAATTCTGGACGAGGTCACCATCATGGGCCAAGTGCGACCTAACCCGCGTCACCTCAGCCCGGCCGCGGTCGAAGTCAGCCTGGACCAGGACAAGATTGTGCAGGAGCTGTCAAGGCGCGTGGAGGAGGCGTTCGACACCCATCTCGCCAACACCTTCCAGTCGCACTCTCGCAAGATGACCGACGCTTCCGACGAGACGCAGACTACCATTCGTCCTCCGCGACAGAGGAATTCTTCGTCTGATGACAAGGTGGCCTCGGGTCTGGCCGATGCGTCTGGCGAGTGGGACTTTGACTACGTGCAGGAGATCCTCGACATGAAGCTCGGCGAGCTTCGGGACCAGTTCAAGACGTCCATTACGCAGGTGATCGAGAGGATCGATGGGCGGTCCGAAAGCCTCGACAGAGGAGTGGCTCAGGAGGCCGACCATGTCAACGGCCTTACGGTTGCAGACGTTCAAACCAAGCTCGCCGAAAGTGTGGCAGCACGCGTGCTCGAGCCACTGGACTCGCTGCTTCGATCGCACGTCCAGACGGCGTTGGAGAGCAGGTCTGCATCGGAAGGCAAGCTCGAGCAGTCTGTGCAAGCCAAATTGGACGAGAATCTCTTCCTGCTTTCCGAGAAGGGGGCCGCCGATCGATCGAGCCTGCAGCACATGCTCGAGGCGAGAGTTCAGGATCTCGAGGGTGCGCTGGGCGAGATTGTCGGCTCCGTCAAGCTGCACTTTGAAAATGCCTTCCAAGAACGTCTCCCGGCCATCGCCGAGGATGTGGCAGCGAGGGACCTCGCTTTGGCAGACAGGCTCGCCAACCAGCTCGGCCAGGCGCTTGGCCCCGTCTTGTCGGAGAACCGTCGATGCCTCTTGGAAGACAATCAGCGCAGCCGAGACGTTGTGCTCGAGTCGATCCCCTCGGCATCGCAGACGGCCCAGGCGACGTTGCAGCTGCTAGAGCCGCTGGTGCACAGCCTCAAGAGCGACCCTATCGACTCGGATGCGCTCGTCACAAGAATCGCAGAGGTCATCGGCAAGCAGTCGATCGAGCACATGGTGGATCTCAACCCTGTGCTTGCGCTGCTCGAGCCGCTCATCACCAAGCAGGACGACGCGCGTGCTTTCAGCAAGAAGATTCTGCAGCGACAGGAGGAGACCGACCAGACGCTTTCGGAGCTGCCGGCCGCCATCAATGCCAAGACCGAGATCTTCCTGTCGAGCGCAAGCGCCACGAGCGAGACGCAGGCTCAGATTCTGCAAGAGATCGGCGCGATCAAAGCCGAGATCGAGCGCAAGGCTTCCGAGTCGACCGATGCGGTGCCATCGAGCGTACTGGCGCTGCAGGAGAAGCTCGAGGAGCTCACGCGAGACCGGGAGCTGCACCGCGAGACTGCAGGCAAGACGCTAGCCGAGCTCGCGTCGGTGTACCACGTGCTCAACAGCTCATACGAGGCGCTATCGCGGCTCGAGGCGCAGCACGCAACGACGGAAGAGACGCACCGCGAGCTTCTAGTGCAGTTCGAGAAGCAGGCGCAGGAGCAGTGGAAGCTGGGTCGGGAAGTGCGCGAGGCCGAAGCACGCGCTGCTCGGGCCGAGGCAAGCAAGGCGGAGCTCGCGTCTCGCTCGTCGGCTTCAGACGAGGAGGCTGTGGCGTTGCGCGAACAAGTTTCGCGGCTGACGGCCGAGCTCGCCGCGGTCAAGGCAGAAAAGGCTCAAGAGAAGGAGGGCTGGACCAAGGCGCTGGCCGCAGAGACTGCGCGAGCTGAGCGTGCCGAGGCGACAAGTGCCGAGATGCAAGGCCGCCTCAGCCGTGTCGCCGAGCAAGCGGGTGCGGCGGAGCGCGAGGCGTACGAGTCGGCCAAGGCAGTGCTGGAGCGCGCTTCCAAGGCGGAGGGACAGATTGTGGCGCTGGAGAAG